TGCTACACTGCAGCGGCCATTTTTGCACAATAAGGATCATCATCGCTTGGCTTGGATCCAACAGATGATGGAGCAAAATGTAAATCAGCAAGTGCCGCCTCCACCACAAACCTTCATGCCTGGACCACCGCCGTCATTTCAGTCTACCCATCCAATGAACCAACATTTCGTACACTCCTTCCATCCGAATACCCATACCTTCCAACTGACCACTAGTAATTTTCAACCATACATGCCACCAAACTTTTCACCATATTCCGGCCGAAATGGAGGAGATAGCGGTTGATGTCCTCCTTGTTGGCCTTCTTGTGTTCTTCTTCCTTGTTCTTTTTTTTATTTCATTCCTTGCACTCTATGATTCTGAGACATTGGTACTTGAGCTTGTTTTATATGCATATTAACATTTGGTCTAATTTTAGGTTATTTGAGGACCACGGATATTTAGAATGTTTGTAAACATTGTTGGTCTTGTTGTACTTTATTTGCGGACCACGGAAATTTAGAATGATTGTTTAATAAGTATTTATTCTTGATGACATCTAGTAGATGACAAATATTACTTAAACAGGTGATGATCAAATGCTCCATTTTTTGCATATTTCTTAAACCCCTAAACTTTCATGTTATTAGTTGGAAACTTTGACAGGCATGGCTCATCATAGGGACGGCGAATCAATGGACTCTAATGCATCAGACGACGATAATGATAACGAATATTTCAGGCATGTTGTCGCGGCTGCAACTTTGTTATGCATTGGATTTATATATAGAGAACCATCACGCCGAAGGCACACTTATGGTTGGGGAGGTAGCCTTAGAGTGGACTACTATCTCAATGTGAGTCCAGAAGTGATTTACGATAAAGTTCGCATGAGTAGTGACGCTTTTAGACGCCTATCTTCTATCCTTGAGGAAAGGAGATTACTGCAACCGATAGTCAACCTTAATGTTGATAAGCAATTATTCATATTCCTTACAATACTGTGTGAAAACCAAACTAATAGGGAGGCACAGGACCATTGGCAGCACTCGGGATCCACGGTATTGGAGTATTTTACGAAAGTACTTGAAGCGGTTTGCCAGTTAAAAATAGACTTCATACGGCATCTAGATTTTTCTGCCGTGGATCCTCACATAATTGCAGGTGTTAACAAGTATTCACTGTGGTTCGACGTAAGTTACGAACTTATACATAAATTTATTTCTCTACTTCATAACTTTAGTCATTTTTTTATCACAAAATGAGTTTAACTAACACATAACATAACAACGGACGTAATTTTGTTAATTTAAAGGATTGTGTTGGAGCACTAGATGGTACGCACGTTCCATGTGTGCCTCCCCGTGAAACGATTGAATTTTACAGAAATAAAAAGGGGTTCTTTTCACTTAATGTGCTCACAGTTTGCTCATTTGATATGAGATTTACGTACATGCTATCTGGTTGGGAGGCTTCAGTACGCGATGCGAGAGTACTTGCGTCCGCGTTAGATCACTTGCAGAAACGATTTCTGAAGCCGCCACCAGGTAACTGGAAAAAATGTCTCGTTCTACATCTACCTAATTCATAAACTGCATCTAGATTATAACTGTTGATTGTGATTACTTAAATACATGTGGGAAAATTCTACCTCGTCGACTCAGGCTACGCAAACAACGAATGTTTCATGGCACCATATCGAAGAACAACATACCATTTGTAAGAGTATAGGAATCAACGTGGTAGAGGCTTCCGCAGTGAACGTGAATTGTTCAACTACACGTACTCCTCCCTGCGTAATGTAATCGAAAGAACATTTAGTGTGTGGAAGGCCAGATTTTGTATTTTGAAAAGCATTAACCGTTACCCCATTGAAAAGCAAGTTAAGGTTCTGGTTGCATATGCTGTAGTCCATAATTTTATCCACATGTACCGTAATGAAGATAGATTATTGGAGCAGTACTCACAAGATGGCGTTCTGGTTGCTGACATTGATCCACAAAATGTTGAAGAGGATATTAATGACAATAACAACCACGAAGGACAACCATTGAATTATAATGCATAACTGGAGATGAATGTGTTAAGGGATGCAAGAGCGCATGCAATGTGGGCAGTGTACCGTAATCTTCGTACGCACTAATAATAGTTTAATGGAGATAAGAATCTTTTTGAGTTTGTGTTTGAGTGAGTCAAAACTTGAATTTGTATTAAGATAGTATTTTAATAAAAACTCAATGCTGATGGAAAATTTTAATAGGGTACATGGGTGGAGTTTTATTCGTCTTTTCGTTGTCAATGCATAGAAAAAAAAATCATCTCAATCAGAATTAAAACGAAAAAAGTTATAGCATTTTTAAGAATAGAAAAAATACTGTTTATTACTTTAAGTTCGAGTTTCTAAACTCGAGTTGAAGGGAAAACTTGAACTCGAGTTTTAGTCCCAAACTCGAGTTTAAACTCGAGTTCAAACTTAAAAGAACATGAACTTGAATAAAGTTATAACTCGAGTTGTTTTTTTTTTTTTTTAAGTTTTTGACTCAAAAACTCAACTGCCGAACAACCCCTTAGTTTATGTGTTTTGAACTAGTTAGTTTGAAATGTTTTTTGACAACATTTTGTTTAGATTCATTTTGAACTAATGCTTTGACAACCTAAACCAAAAAGTAGCCCTAAATTCAAAACAATCCCCTTCCCCCTATGCTTTCAAGATTTTAAACCAAAATGCACAATAAATGACCTAAAACTCACATCTCATTTGAACTCATTGTCTCACAAAAAGCCATATTTTAATTCTATACCCACGCACAATTTTAAATTTTATTCCCTTTTTGAACCACATCTCAATTGATATCCAAATGACATTTTGGACTACAAGTTCAAATCGCACTTTTCAAAATTTTCATTCAAACCACAAAAGTTCAAATCACCACATTGTGAATATATTTACTAAACAAACCGTAAATTTTTAAAAGGAGGATCCAAATACTAAAGATGAAAACTTTGGGAACCCATTAAAAGAAACAAAATAAAAATAAATTTTTTTTAGAGAAAATTGAAAAACTTACCCTTTATTGCATTGTTTTGAGATTTTTACCCTTTATTATTGATTAATTAATACACTTTTAACTAATATAGTTATTTAACTAAAGAGTATTAATCAAGTATAAAAGATAAAAATTCAAGACCTATACATTCTAAGAGGTGTTGTCTCTTTTTTTCTTTTTGTTATTAGTACAGTTAATCTCCTAAATTCTGAAAATAGACCTATGATTTTATTATTAGTACAATTAATCCTTAAATTTTGAGAATAGTCACACTATGATAACTAGACTTTTAATTTTAATAGATTATATTCCTAAACTTTTATTATTTTTGGCATATTTTTCCGTAGATATAAAATTGAAAAAAGTATTTACGAAATTTAACATAGATCAACCTATGTTGCATAAAACCTTAATTTTACATAAATAGTTACATTATATTCGAAATATTCTAATTCTTAACAGATTTTAACATAACATTTTTTATTTAATATATTATTTTGATAAAATTACAAGTTATCACGCAATGAAAATATAATTGTTGTTGTTAAGTTTCTTTTAGAAACTGTTTATTAATTCTACTGTGAGGAATCAAAACTGTAAATTTTTTTTAAATAATTTACTAAAACTATAAGTCTAAAAATGAAAGGCTATTTAGTATTAACACTCTTTGAACTTTTTAAATTTAGCAATTTAGTTCTTAAACTTTTTTTTACTGGTAATCAACCCCCAGAGCTTTTAATTTTTGACACTTTTAGTCACTGTTGCTCAAATTCTTTAAAATTTCGATTATTTTTTGTGCCAAACTTACAAGTGACAGCCTAAGAAGCGCATTGATGATATTTTTGTTTGATATTAATAAAATTTTATGTTAAATTTAGATTAAAGTTTAAGTTATAATTAAATGAAGTTTAAGTTTTTAAATGTATTTGTATTGAAACTAAACAAAAATGAACATCAATGTCCTTATTAGGTATCATTTGTAAGTTAGGTGTAAAAAACCGTCAAAATTTTAACAAATTTAAGTAACAATAAAAACTATAAGTTCAAGGTGTTGATTGCCAGAAAAAAGTTTAAAAAATATATTATTAAATTTAAAAAGTTCAGGGAGTACTCGTATAAAATAACCAAAATCAAATTATCACATTACTCAAAATTCAAAGACGAACCATGCTAATAAATTTTTTAATTTTCTTTTCCTCTCGAAAGGGAAAGGAATCACCAAACACCGTTTATTCCGCTAAAAGGAGCGGAATAGGAAAAAATCGAGTGCGGTGTCAATTGATTCCGATTCAAACTACATCCAAACACTCTTATAAATGAACCCTCGTTTGTTTTACTGGTCTAGTTCAGTTCAACTTAATTTGAACGGTGAGTACAGTTTGAACTGACGTTTGATAAGCATGCATTTTGAATTATATTCTATGTTTGAACTAAGTTAAAAGACTCAATTTAGAGTTTAGCGCTCACTTCAAGTTCGATCGTTCAAACCAATTCTGAACAGTAAAAAGGTTTTCATTCTTTGCTTTTTACACATACCAAACACAAATTTAAATTTTATTCTCTGTTCAAATTAAAACTTTAACTACACATTTAAACATTAATTCAAACTATAATTTAAAATATAATTAGAATTTTTATGTTCAAATTAAGGCCTCGTTCATTTCACTGATTCAAGTTTTCAGTTTTAGCTTTCTACAGTAAAAAGTTCTTAGAAAATGTCACATTAACTTTTTCTGCTACAGTAAAAAGCTCTAAAAAAATGTCACATCTCAATTCAAATTGAAAACTCGAATCTGCGAAGTGAACGAGGTCTAAAAGGTTCAAATCATAAAATTCAAACTAACTAACCAAACGGGATTAGGTTTTTCCGCTCTCTCTCCCCCCCTCCCCCTTCTCTCTCTCTTTCTCTCCCTCCCTCCCCCCTTTTTCTCTCTCCCCCCTCCCGTCTTCTCTCTCTCTCTCTCTCTCTCTCTCTCTCTCTCTCGCGTTCATAAGCAACAGTAACATTTCCCTTGGTTTTTTGAAGAGAAAACCCACCCCCCAAGCCCCGTCTCTCGCCGAATCACAAAACTCGGCCTTTAATGGCGTCCAAGTTCGGCCTAGCTGGTGGCATCCCGGAGCGCCGCGTCCGCCCTATTTGGGACGCCATCGATTCTCGCCAGTTCAAGAACGCTCTCAAACTCGTCACCTCTCTCCTCGCCAAGAACCCTAAATCTCCTTATGCTCTGGTACTTATTACGTACCATCCGACTCGTTTTCCTTGTTTTCCATCTCTGTTCTACTCGAAATCTCTGCAATTTGTTGTTTTTTGGTTATGGTTTATCCACTTCTGAGATTTTTGGGGTATTTTGTTTTCTGCATGTCCACTTTATTGCCGGTTAATTCAATGGAGTTGTATTTTAGTGTGATTTTGTGTCTAAAGAAGTGAAAATTGTTGGAATGAAACTCTTAGAGCCAGTAATGGATGGATTAATCATATATAAGTTCTGAAGAATTCGTTTGTTGTATATGACTTTTGTTGTTAATCGCTGGTTTTCGTTATTTTAGCACATTTCTGTTGGAATGAGATTGCTTATATCGTTTATGCTTTTTTGTTTTTTGCAGGCACTTAAAGCTCTAATTCTGGAAAGAATGGGGAAAGCTGAAGAAGCATTATCCGTTTGCTTAAATGCCAAAGAGCTTTTGTATCACAACGACTCTGTATTAATGGATGACCTTACTCTCAGTACCCTGCAGATTGTTTTCCAACGACTTGATCACTGTCAGTCGGACTTGTATTGCTTTGAATTATTTTTTATGGAAATGGGGTTGCATAATTTACTGATACATTTGTAATTCTCTTGCAAACAGTGGATCTGGCTACTAGCTGTTATGAATACGCGTGCGGGAAGTTTCCGAACAATTTGGAGTTGATGATGGGTCTTTTTAACTGCTACGTTCGGGAGTACTCGTTCGTCAAGCAACAACAGGTTGGCAGGCGTCTTTGTGTTTACCAAGTTTTCGGAGTGGTGGTTGATGTGTTTTCATAATGATGTCTGTTCTACATGTTTGTGTGACACTTTTTCTAGATTTCCACGTTTTTTTTTTTTTTTTTTTTTTTTTTTTTTTTTTTTTTTTTTTTTCTGTTTACTAAGCATATGCATAAAACATATATTTCCTTTTAATTGCAGACAGCTATCAAGATGTACAAACATGCTGCGGAAGAGAGGTCTTTGCTGTGGGCAGTTTGTAGTATCCAGTTACAGGTTCCTTCAACTTTCTTTCTTCTCTTCAGAGTCTTTTAGGATTTGGTTATTCTTTTTTCTCCCAGAGACTGGTTACTGGTGGTGAGTGGTGACATTACTTAGTATTAAATGACCCCCTTAGGAAAAAGGAAGCATCAAAAAGTAAATGAGAAAGGTGCAACACTACATAACTTGTGTATATAAATTCAAACATATTTTTCTTAACTTGAATTTTAATTTATGATCTGCATGTGGTTGTAGTTTTAGTTTTTCATTTTTTGGCTTGTGACTTATTCATGGTGCCTACTTTTGCTTTTGAGCGTCAGTTAAGTTTTGTAGTGTAGTGTCTTGCCTTGTTTGGATTAGAAATGTTTGACATGCGTTTAAGTTCAAGTGGTTTTTTGGCTGACAGTATATACGTTATTGAATATTAGCACAAGTGCAGAAGCCTTAAACTTAGTATGTTTTCAACGCAATGGATCCTGGGAGGATAGTATAGATGCAATTTTTGTTGCTTCCAAAACTGCAGTATGTCCAAAATCAAGACAAAACCTGTTGATGGTTGCAACTGCTAACAATATTATCTAGTTTCAGGTTTGAAAATACTGCCACCCACATGAAAACAGGGAATTTAGGAGTCATTTTTAAGATTAGTGCAAAGATTTGCTAAGGCTGTTCAAATGAAAATCTCAGATCCTTCTGTGTGATTGCTAAGGCCAAGGAGATAATTAATCAGATTGTTTAGGGTGGCTTCATGATCTTATCTGGTTAGTACGCATGTCTGCTGTTGTTAAAGATTTTTGAGTTGAGTCTATTATTTATTTATTTTCAAATCATAGAAATGCCCTGAACCTCCTGATCGCGCTTGATTTAAAATCTCAAGGTTGGAGCCCCTGCAAATATATTTGAGTCCCCTGTCAAGATAAGCTCATGGCCTTGAATGATTTAGATAGTCTTGACAATATTCTAGGGAGAACAGATACTAACGTTAAGACTTTCTAATCTTTATTAAGCTTTCGTACTGTCAGTTTCCGTTGGATTTCTCATCATAATGATTAAGATTTGATCTTATTTTAAGGACATGCTTCAACTAATTTGGGTTGGAACTTTGTAAGGTGCTTTGTGGAAATGGGGGAGAGAAGCTCTTACTTTTAGCTGAAGGCTTACTTAAGAAGCATGTAGCCTCCCATAGTTTGCATGAGCCTGAAGGTATTCATTACAGGGAACTTTTCTGTTGTATTCTCGTGTGTTATCTATTCCCTACTAAAAGCTGGAACTACTGCAGCTCTTATGGTCTATATTTCCATATTGGAGCAACAAGCAAAGTATGGCGACGCTTTGGAATTTCTCTCTGGGAAGTTAGGATCGCTGCTAGTGATTGAAGTTGACAAGCTACGAATGCAGGTACTTTGGGAGGATTTAATAATTTAAAACATCAGTGGTATTACTTCTTTACAGACATTTCATGTTTCGACATTTATTGATTGTCATATGAATTGAGTTTCTCTTTGTCAAATGATTTTTTCTATTGGGGTTTACTGATTTACGGGACAAAACACTGAATTATTCCTGCTAGTTTACCAATCCATCCCAAAAGCTTAAGCTGTTAGGAGGCGTGCCAACAATAGTTTTATACTTTAACACTCCTCCTCACGTGTGGGTTGGACAATGGGCAATCGTGTGAGTAAATTAATTGAAAAGCCCTACACGTGAATATTTAAGCCCGAGATGTATTAAAAACCCAACGCATGATGACAATTTAAATGGGGATAAATAGTGCAATTACGGAGGTTTGAACTCAGGACCTCCCGTTCTGATACCTTGTCACTTTTAACTGCAACATACCTCATAAACCGCATGCCTACAAAAATCTTGAACTTCAAAACTCCTCTTAATACCTTTAAAGATGCCTTTCCAACTTCAAGATTGATATCTGATTTACCTCTGAAAGTATTTGGTTGTAGTGCTGAAATATGTGAATTGGCATAACATCATCACTCTTTTTTCCCTTCAAGACCATCCATATCAAGCTTGAAAACCTTTTTTGTTAATTCATAATGATGTTTGGGGACCATCTAGAGTCACAATAATGTTTGGCAAAAAATGGTTTGTTAGTTTTATTGATGATCACACACGGCTTAGTTGGGTTTATTTACTAAAGGATAAATCTAAGGTAAAAGAGATTTTTAAAGTGATTTATACAATGGTTGAGACACAGTTTCAGGAAACAATCAAAGTGTTCAGAAGTGACAATGAGAGAGAATACTTTAATGACGTCCTAGGGGATTATTTTTCAAAAAAATGGATAATACATCAAAGCACATGCCCAGATACACCCCAACAAAATGGGATAGTAGAACGTAAAAACAAACATCTCTTTAGAAGTCACTAGGGCACTACTTTTCACTCATCATGTCCCTAAGTATCTTTGGGGAGAAGCACTTTTAACTGCAACATACCTCATAAACCGCATGCCTACAAAAATCTTAAACTTCAAAACTCCTCTTAATACCTTTAAAGATGCCATTCCAACTTCAAGATTGATATTTGATTTACCTCTGAAAGTATTTGGTTGTAGTGCCTTTACCCCATATACATGACCAAAATCGGGGAAAATTAGATCCTAGAGCTCGGAAGTGTGTTTTTGTAGGCTATGCTCCACACCAAAAGGGGTATAAATGTTATGATCCGAGAACAAGAAAAATGTTTGTTACTTTAGATGTAATCTTCTTTGAAGATCAACCATTTTTTGATAATCATCTTCAGGGGGAGAGCCTAAGTGAAAGATTATTCTGATTTTCTTGATTTCCTTGGCACATCTGATAATGTTCAAAGTCCAAATTTCTTAATAAATGTGGAACCTAGTGATTTGACTAATGAAAACTTGGATGCTGGAACTATAGAGCCATCTCATAATATTAGTTAACATGGAAATAATGAACAAGCAGGTACAAAAAAGCTACTTGTCTACTCGAGAAGGAACCGGAAGCAAGGAAATAAGATTAACAATTCCCAGTTACTAACTTGCTTTGATTCAAAGGAAACATACATTTCTTACTTAGAACTCTTACTGGTGCATTTGTTTTGCGAACGTTGTATTGGCTTGTCACCACTCATTAAAGAATGAAATAATGGTTCTAACTCTCTAAATCTCATGAAGCTCTTCCAGTTTTAAACTTGTGGGACTGGGTTTTTGATACTCAAACAATCTTATTTGCTATCCTTATCAACTTGTGAACTTTGACTTCAAGTTGACAGGGGAGGCTTCTTGCTCGGGCAGGTGATTACAGTGCAGCTGCCAATATATTTCAGAAAATCTTAGAACTAAGGTATGCTTTCCTTTAAAAAAATAAAAAATAAAAAAATCATTGGAGCAATTTGCTTAGCATTATTCCTTGGCAATCGATGATAGTTCTTCACTAGCTATTAGGCATCCAATTCGTAAATTGAGCTGATTTTAATCATGATTTTCAGTGCCCCTTTTGTCCCTTTGTGCTTTATCTTTGTTTTTACTGTCTAGTTTCATTTTCCTTCTTGTTTGTACTTATGAATAATATGCTGATATTTGTGCATTGTTGCTATGCTTTGCCTTTGATAGTTTGATTTGTATAAACTAATAGTGGAAGATGTTGAACTTCGATTTGGAATAAGAATGAAATAGTTGCCATTTTTGCCTTAGGCCTAGAGTTCAATGTTCATTGTTATTTATAAACGCTTTGTCTTTATTTTCTGTTATTTTCCCTTGTTATCACTTATTTTTCCTTTCATTTGGCAGCTCTGATGATTGGGAGTGTTTCGTAGATTATCTTGGCTGTTTGCTGGAGGATGACAGGTACTGGTCTGATAGGGCCATGAATGATCACATTAATCGTTCAAAACCTGTTGATTACAAGATTTCACACTTGACGGATGACGTGGTGCGTATTTTGCACATAGTAGATGAACTCGTTTAGTCCATTTTTAGAAGCAAAAATTTCTGGTGATAGTTGTATATTTACTTGTGCAATTTTGAATGTGCAGTTTGATTCTCGAATATCAAATGCATCCGCTTTTGTGCAAAAGCTACAGAAAGATACTGATGAGAATTTTATAAGGTGTCCGTACTTGGCAAATATTGAAATTGAAAGGAGAAAGCAGTTGCATGGGAAGGACAATGATGAGAAGTTAATGGAGTTGTTGATGCAATATTTTGTTCGGTATTGAATAAGTTCCCATCTTGTTTGTGATTCTCGATGAGTTTGCATATGAGCTTATTTTAACTTGTCACTAGATAAGACCAATTCTTATCATCAATCTACCTTATCTGCTGTATAACTATCTTTTTGTAGGTTCTAGAGGGTTTTAGTAAACTGTTTCAATTATAGTCTAGTACTTTGGTTGACATTCATACAACCTTCTGCTTCCTTGTTGTTTTTTTTCCCCCCTCCTATAGTCACTTCTAGAGAGTTTACAATTTTGTTCTGGCATATGATGTTTTTGATTGTTTGAACTCAGGTTTGGTCACTTGACCTGCTCCACGACAGATGTTGAAATGTTTCTTGATGTCTTAAGCCCTAAGAAGAAGATAGAATTCGTCGGCAAGTTAAATAAAGCTTATGAGTGTGTTTCTACAGTGCCAACAAAAGTGCTTGGACAGTCGATTACATTTTTAAAAGTTCAAGAATTGATGGGAAATATGTTTGAGCTTCCTATCACTGGTGGGTTGTGGAAAGTATTCAAGAATTAATTTTAAATCTTTCTTTATTTGTGTACTTTGTATGTAATGGTATCCATGTTAAGAATATGCTAGCGTTGCTCGAGGCAATATGCCGTCTGATCAATTGACAAACATTTGACCCGGTAAATTGTTATCATTAGAATAAAACCTGGCAGCTGGTCTTGAGAATTTGTTACTAATCTTACATGTGGTTATCACTATTTTGTAGCTCATTTTATCTATATTTCATTGGAGTGGTTGTCAATTTTATTGTGAGTTAATTATGTACGTTGTTTCTGGTATTGTAAAATGTCAGCGTGAGCGCTAATATTTATTCTTTTGAGTTTCAGCTTTAGTTGTAAGAAAATGTCAATTTTAGTTGCCTATTGAATTTCAACTTATTAATTTATTCTTTTGCAGAACTTGAGGACCGTGCTGTTAAAATGGCAGAACTTTATTGTAAAAACCTTCCACTTTCAAAGGATTTGGATCCACAAGAGAGCATGCATGGTGAAGAGCTGTTATCAATGTTGTGCAACGTATTGGTTCAGGTATAACATCTACGATATAAGTTTTTTATGAGTAACTTATAAAAGTAAATGGTTTACAGGCTTCTAGTTTTGAAGCTGGTCTCATATAGAGCTTTTCATAGTTATTCTGGCGCACTAGGCATCTTGGCTATCTTACAGAGGCAATTATGGTCCTCGAGTTTGGCTTGAACATTCGAAGGTAAGGACTTGTTTTTACTTTGCTCATTTGGTTGCTATCAGTTGTATTTTTGAATTTTCCTGGGGCTTGATCATCTTATTATATTTTGCAGACATGTATCACAGTACAAGATCTTATTGCTGCATTTGTATTCTCACTGGGGCGCCCTTTCATTAGCACATCAATGGTAAGTTTTCTTTTTTACTTCATTGGTTATGTAACATTTGGTAATTATTACGTAGCGTCTTTGCGTTTTAAGATTAAGACGACTTGTATTTTCTTTTTCTTTTAGGTTTAAATCGCTGGATGTCAAAAACATCCTGACGGAAACTATTTCGCACCACATTTTACCTCAGATGTTGGTTTCTCCACTTTGGGTGGACTTAAATAATCTGCTGCAGGATTACCTTAAGTTTATGGATGACCACTTCAGGGAATCTGCAGATCTGACATTTCTTGCTTATCGCCATAGAAATTACTCAAAGGTATATTAGATATCTGTTTATGTTTGTGCTTTTAAGGCCCGATGTTATTCGTGCGGCAAACTATATGTTAACATATTATTTTTGTCCTTCCAAATTCCAAGATACACCTAATTATGAAAGGATTCATTAGTTTTAAACAGTGTAGTATTACTACGTAAATCTAAGTGCATAATATTTCAAGAGGCACAGATTCAGATATACCGTTGTTGGTAGGGTAATTGTGATTATTGAAACTATGGGATTTATATGTTCGTATTTTACAGGTGATTGAATTTGTTCAGTTTAAAGAACGGCTTCAACACTCTTATCAGTACTTAGTTGCAAGGGTTGAAGCACCCATTCTGCAGCTAAAGCAGAATGCGGATAAGATCGAAGAAGAAGAGGTCATTTGTTTTGCAACTTCAGCATTATACTCCTTGTGTTGTACTGTTATTATATCAAATAGTAAACGTCGTTTTCATATCTCCTGTTTTAGGCTGTCCTTGGGAGCTTGAAATGCGGGATTCACTTCCTTGAACTCTCTAATGAGATTGGGTCCAAATCTTTGACGTTCAATGAAGATATGCAGTCACGGCCGTGGTGGACCCCAAGTTCGGAAAGAAATTATCTTTTAGGTCAGTGATACATGCATCTTGTCTCCAGTGTTAACTGCCTGTAAAACTGTAAAGGACTATTCCACATCTTTTGGGAATTACATGATGATTTGTTGTTGAAAAGTGAACATTTCTACTTGTTTCAGGCCCTTTTGAAGGAGTTTCCTATTGTCCTAGAGAAGATTTGGTATGTCATATATTCTTCTTGTATTTTGCATTTAATTTTTTGGTAGTCCAGAAACTAGTTTGATATTATATCCTCTCTTGCTTAACAATGTTATTTCTATATCATGCTATGCTCCATATATTTTTTTAATATGTTCTCATTTGCTTTATTGTAAATTTCCTTCTCTGATGGCACCAAAACTAGACCAGGGAAAGGGAAGCAAGTGTACGAAGAGCTGTTGAGAGGAAATCACTTCTTCCTAGGATGATTTATCTGTCTATTCAGAGTGCATCTGCATCGGTCAAGGAGAATTTTGAGGCCAATGGTTCAATTTCTGACCCAAATATTTCCTCAGAACTGAAGGTTTTGCTCGAGCGTTATGCAAAAATGTTGGGATTTTCTTTTAGCGAGGCAATAGAAGTTGTTTCGAGTGTTTCTGGTGGCCTAAAGTCTTCTGAGGTATGATTTCACAATTGACCTTTGATTGATAAAGCATGCATTATTTACTTGCATTTTAGAGTTGGCACTTTATCGCCAGTCATTTTGTAGGTTTCTGTCATTGTCCGCAATTGCATATCCACGATCATGTTGTGAAATAGTTAGCACGTTTGGGTAATCATCATAAACAGTTAAATTAATGCGTTCATCAATTTGTTTGAAATGACTATCTAGAAATATTGCAATTCGCTTCATAAACAGTTGAGCTATTGTATTCATCAATTTCTTTACAGTTTACCTTTAGAACCACTTAGTGAAGCAAATTGCAATACTTCTTGATAGTCATTTTATGAACACAAGTCAGACTTCTATTATTTGGTCATGCTTCCTCTTCGTCCAAGAGTTGGGTTTAAATGAATTGGCCCCTGGAAAGACTTGCACCTAGCATATATTCAGGCAAGGTTTTGTTGTCACGTATACAATTTAACTGACAAGGTGGTGGTTGTCTGAGTTTATAGCTCTATGAGTCTGTGTATTCTAAATATGAGGGATTATCTTGATATGAAACTAACATTTGAATTTGTCATAGGTATTTGGTTCGGACTTGATTGATTGGTTGAACTTTGCTGTGTTTTTGAACTCATGGAACTTGAGTTCCCATGAACTTGGTCGTGCAGATGGAGATGGACGTCAGCCTCAAACTTGGCAAATTATAAATTCTTTGCTGGAGAAGTATATTATGGAACAGATGAACTTGATAGAGCCTTCCATTAGCTCTCCTTGGAATAGCTTTCCAATTCTGGTGCAGCTGGTTACTGAACCATTTGCTTGGCATGGTCTTGTGATTCAAGCCTGTGTCCGTGCGTCTCTTCCATCTGGAAAAAAGAAGAAGAAAACTGGACCTTCAGACCTGTCTGCTCTTTCTCAGACCCGTGATTCGGTCCTGTCTTTATGTAGTACATTAGAAAATCTTGTGAAGTGGTTTAAAGAGATCATTAACAGACCAGAGGATGAGAAATTAGACTCTTTTCTCTCCTCTTTCCAGAAGGAAGAGGAGCGCCATGGACAGGTGTTCCAGATTCTAGAAACTCTAGCTTCATCCGTGGATGACATTGACCTCGGTGAGCAGATCTCCCAAGCGTTGAAGTCGTGGAGTCATGTTGATGTTGTGAGGAAAATAGTAACAGGGAAATGTAGGGTAATTGCCGAATTTCTTCAAATTTGCGAGTCAAAATTGAAGATGTTGCAGGCATTAAAACAGCAAATAGCTCAATTCTAAAATGTCATTACCTTTGCCAAATATGATTCTCGTCTCCGGGCCTGTCCAGTTCGTGCTTTTGTTTGCTTCCAACTGTTGTTGCTTTCACCTATCGATGGTTCAATTGATTCAGCTGGGAAGATGATGAGATCTCTGTGTTTTGGTTTATGCTTTATTGACACCTCCCTCTATTATTAAACTACTTTCCTTGCCAGCAGCCTGCTGTATGTCTTGGCCTCCATGGTTGACCGCTGGTTGGTGAATCGACAAAATTTCGGTAGGGGTTGTTTTGTTTATTTTTCTGACCTCGTGTGATCTTTTGCCTGACAATGTACATTGAGAAACGGCAATTCTTTTTCATTTTCTTTCTGCCCTTTTGCGGAGTATAATTTTGATTTCATACAGGCTTGAAGCGTTGTACTGCTGAGCACCAATTTTGGCAATGTATTTTGTTATTCAAAGTTTAAAGCTGTACTAATGTTTTAAAGTTTTTTTCTGAATGCACTTTTTTACCCTCCACATGTCCAAATCATTTGATAGCGTTTGGTAGATTGTAACCTTGTAGGTGATGAGAAAAATGGTTTATGGATAGAAAAATGTGTGAATGTGCCCTTGCTTTTACAGGTCTATTAATTATTATAATTATTATATTCTTTTTGATACACTACGGGTCTCGCAAGTCGCAACCTCCCTCAAACCTCATCCAACCGAACCAAAACCCTCCTGTACCATTATTATATGAGCGTCAATGTATTGTTCAAATCTTGTGTCTTTACTCTCCTACTATTTCAACGTCGTAGAAAAGTCCAAAAGAGCAGATTTCAGTGTTGAAATTGAGCTGCTCAGATGCCTCTTTAACAAAATGCAATAAAATAATAAATAAATAAGTTGTTTTGCTCCCTTTGCTCTGTCAACCCTTCAAGAAGAGCCATTCCAAGAACTTTGACTTAACGCTGTTAATACTTGAAGGGCATGTTTACTTTGTATTAAAGGGAAAAAGAAAGGGGGGGGTGATTTTTTTTTTTTTTTTTTTTCTGTTTAATAATGTGTTTACTTATAAAATCAGCAATAAAAATTTAGTGGACCTCACAATATAGGTAATGAGGAAAGGAAATACCAATTCTTGCACTATCTTTTTTTAGTTTCTTATCATAGGGAATGAATGTTAAATTTATTTATCTAACCTTAATGAATTACTATATAGTCAGTGCCTATTTAATTGTGTAAAATGACATTTTAATAATTACATTTTGATATTGCTATTTTTAATTTTAGTAAACATAAGAAAAGAAATGAGGTTGTTTCTCATTACATCAATTAATAGTTAAGTAAATACATGAAAACGAATGAATAACTCTTAATCTTATTATTTTACTTTTCTTTTCAATCATATTATTTTTTTCATTACATTTCTTTACGGTTTGATAAATGCTTTCAAAAAGTACAAACAAAGAGAATTCTACAGTAGAGTATGAAGGACATATGTTTGATAAATGCTTTCAAAAAGTACAAACAAAGAGAATTCTACAGTAGAGTATGAAGGACATATAGAATACAATTATGATCATATTTTCGTAATATGATTTATGATTTAATTCGGATCTAGCTCTTCAGAACTATGTCCTACGACCGGGTTTTTTTTTTTTTTTTTTTTTTTTTTTTTTTTTTTTTTTTTTCCATAGTAAAGGAAAGCTAACATAGTTTGCATAGTAAAGGAACAAGATGAAAACACTTGCCTGAAGTCAGTGGGCAGGCTACCTAATTCACATTGTTAGGAATTTGATAATCGTAGTTAAGTACAACTTTCCACATAGTTTGAAGGGAGATTTAATGGACCTGTCAAATCTGCTTCATTTCAAACATTTTAAGTAATAGAGGAATTGAACTGCTCTGCATGCTAATTAGTGCCTTGATTGATGTTTAAAAAAAGTACTAAAGTAAATATGTTTGACAAACCAAAACTATTATTCTTAATATTTAAGTATGGTGATACGGTGTCAGTTCGCTCGTTTAGTGCTACTCCACTTATTCAATTCCGTTTTTGTATTTGATTTTGTTTTAATTATAATTAATTATTTCTTTCTGGTATTAACTATTAGCAGGAAGCCTTAAAAAATTTAGATTAATTAATATATTCTACTTGAAACAAATGATAATTTTAAGGTTTTTAAAAAAATCATTTTTAACGAGAGAAAGTTAAAGAGACTCTACAAGAATAGAGAGAGTGCATTCTGTAGTCAGTGGTTCAGAATGAAGCCGTTTAAAGTGTGGGTATTTATCGGAATGGAGCCGTTCAAAGGGAATAAGTTGCCGTTCTTCTACCCTAGATTTAGGACGCGTTCGTCACGGGATTCCATTGAAACTACAAGAACTAGGTCACGGAAGGTAGGCGAGGAAGGTGGATCGGCGTGTGTGGCAGTTGCTGCCCGTTGGTGACGGCGCGTGAGATCCATGCGCCGCCGTATTTTTGACGCTTCCGTCGTTGTTTCAGATGCCTTTTTTTGGCGCTGCTCCTACCGTGCTTTATATATTTCTAGTGTTGAGGAGCTTGATCTTGCTAGGTTAATCGTTTGGAATCTTTATAAAGTTATAACAGTTTTACAGTTTTTTAATTATATTAGTGTTGTCATAACAGTGATGGTTTCCCCATCTATCGGTGTTTTGTCTCAGTTAGAGGGTGGTTTACCCACTGCGCTTAGTTTGTGTTGTGTGGCTTGGGTCAATTTTAAGATTAGGATGTGGCGCATTATGAGTCTTTTTTATGTGGCCGAATCATGTTATTGTTCCACTTATTAGAGTTCTCTCCGTTGTTGAGTTAACGGTGCGTTTGTATTGTCTAGTCATGTGAGTGACATCCGTTTCTATGGCTTTGAATTTGTCCTATATCCTAACTCTGTAGTGACTCTTTAATGAATTCTCATTGCTGATTGATCATTAAAAAAAAAAGAAAAAAAAAAGAGAATTTTAAGGAAACACGTAATAGAATGTTTGATTTCCTTCACTAGATAACATATTTGTGATTCTAATAGAACTTAATCATTTGTACATATATTTTCATTGATTTATTTTTTGTTTTAACTTTGTTATATTTTCTTGACAAATATGGGAGTTCAGATTTGGTTCTGATACTTGTGAGAGAAGTTGAGTTTATTTCTACAATTTTGACATATATGAGGAAATCAAATGCTTTTTTTCCCCCCTTGGAATGACGTGTTATCTTCATCACGTAAACTAAGAATTGCAAAATGCATCGCTGCATGCATTTTTATAGAAAACCAAAAACAAAAAGCAAAAACAAAAACAAAAACCAAACTTCCACTAAAGATTGCGGAGCTGATGAGAAAATTTTTATTATGTAAGAAAATTGTTGATGGCTCTTTTATATGTCAATCTATTTGTGGTCAGCAAAGGCAAAACATTGCACTTTCTCTTTCCTCTACCAAATCAAACCAAATTCAACCTGACGCTAACCATCATGACTTAAAAACTTTAGAAAGTGAAACATTCATAGTAATGCTCGTCTTGTTCCAAATGGCGTTATAGGATCTTTGAATTGTTGAGCTAACAATATTGATTTGGCATTTATTGGCCAATCATCAGACGAAATTTTTATTTATCAAATTGTATGCAAGCGTTTAGAGATAAACTAGGCAAATAATAATAATAATAATAAAACAGGAAACGAAAGGAAGACTTCAAACACTATTTCTAGGTATAATACTAAGAGTTCTTCCAGATTCTCTCTTACTTTGTAGAACCAAATCTCTTGCCTAAATGAACTTGATAACATTATTTATTGGACCAAGTTTGAATACTTTTGGTTCTGATTATTAAGTGAAGTAAAGCTTTCTACCTTGCGGTTATAAGACTTCCAATCTTTAACTGATACAGCAGTAGAATATCATCATACTTGACCAGAAGATATCAGATATATATTTGATTATTTGGTATTTCAAAGTTGCAGTTAACAAAACCCAAAACACAAAAAACTTTCATCTAAATAACAAGTGATGGAGCTATATAGTGGGTGCACCAAATCCTCTTTATGGTTGGACTAGATGTCCTAAAATCTCAACGTATCATTTATTGACTCAAAACCCAATTTTCAAATACATCTCTCTGCAATTAAAATATTAAGTTTAAGTCTTTACCCCTTCCCGCTTTATCTTGGTATAAATAGCTGCTCTCCTACGGGTCTATGCTCACACATAACTACCATACTTAACAAAGGAGCTAAGAAAGCAGCAATGGAGACTTTCAAACTCGGTGTCAAGCCTTGCTGCTATAGCCTCTTACTTGCTGTCTTCGGTTTGCTCGCTTCTCTTACTTCTATAGCTGATGCTGAAACTCACTACCATCAGTTTGTCGTATGTCCACAAATTCTTCGTTTCTTGCTTAGCATTTCTCTGGAATGATATAGCATCCGTTTGAAAACGTCTTTTTTTCTGTTGTTTGGAAATTAGGTTCAACCAACTCCGGTGACGAGGCTGTGCAGAACCCGGAACCGAATCACAGTCAATGGACAATTTCCCGGACCAACATTGGCAGTCAGAAATGGAGATACCCTTGTGATTAGAGTTATAAACAGCGCACAGTACAATGTTACCATGCATTGGTAAAACTCATGCATGCACATTGCTCATGCATAATATTGCCTGACTACTTACCACGCTAGCCAAGCTAATAATTTACTCTTTATATTTTCTTTAATCAAAAAGAAGATTGAATGTTGTTTCACCCTAGGATTAATATAGGGATGAAGAATTAAAACTAGTCTTGGAACCCCATGAAAAGTTTACCACTATAGGAATGTCAAGACTCATCAAGTATTCTGAGTTAGATTTTTTCACTCTGTAGTTGAGGTCTACTCAACTTAATGACGCTTGAAATTTTGATGTTGAATATTAATTTTTGTCACTTCTTATCCTCTAGGCATGGAATTCGACAGCTACAAAATCCGTGGGCAGACGGACCTGAGTATGTTACTCAATGTCCCATCCAACCAGGAGGAACCTACACATACAGGTTCACAATTATAGACCAAGAGGGGACATTGTGGTGGCATGCTCACAGCAGATGGCTTAGAGCTACTGTTTATGGAGCTCTCATCATCTATCCTAAATTGGGAACTCCATATCCCTTCCATATGCCCAAGAGAGAAGTTCCAATTCTTCTTGGTAAGAATTGACTACTTAGTACTTACTATTTGTTCGTTTCCAACCCCTTTTCCTATACTCACTTGACCGTCACAAAATTCTCTCTTTAACAAGTTGTGGTAATTGACAGGGGAATGGTGGAACAGAAACCCCATGGATGTCCTGAGGCAGTCACAATTCACTGGAGCAGCACCAAATGTGTCTGATGCATATACCATTAATGGTCAGCCTGGTGATCTGTATAGATGCTCCAACAAAGGTTAGCAAAACTTCTCCTTTAACTCTAAGACTTGACCATAAATTTATGTTTGGACTTGGAGATTATCCTTGTTTAGAATCTGATAACAAATTTTCCATGCAGAAACTGTGAGAATTCCGGTGGATTCAGGGGAGACAATCCTTCTAAGACTCATCAACTCTGCACTCAATCAAGAACTCTTCTTTGCTATTGCCAACCACAAGATGACTGTTGTGGCCGCCGATGCTCTCTACACAAAGCCTTTCACAACTCAGGTCATTATGATCGGACCTGGTCAAACAACAGATATCCTCCTTACAGCTGATCAGAAACCGGCACGCTACTATATGGCCGCACGTGCCTATGAAACTGCTCAGAATGCTGCTTTTGACAACACAACCACCACTGCAATCCTTGAGTACAAATCTGCCTGCAAGAAAGGGCTACAACCTTCAAGACCAATCTTATCACAATTACCAGCATTTAACGATACAGCCACAGCAACCGCATTTACTGCTAAGTTCAGAAGTCCTTCCAAGGTCGATGTCCCTACACAGATAGACCATAACCTCTTCTTCACAGTAGGTTTTGGATTAAACAACTGCACACGTCCTAATAGCCCCCGTTGCCAAGGACCCAATGGAACTCGTTTTGCTGCAAGCATGAACAACGTTTCATTTGTATTCCCAAGAAGGACCTCCCTGATGCAGGCTTACTACCAAGGTGTGCCAGGTGTCTTCACCACTGACTTTCCTCCTGTTCCTCCGTTGCAATTCGATTATACAGGTAACGTGCCTCGGGGGCTGTGGCAACCATCCACTGGAACTAAGCTCTACAAGTTGAAGTATGGCTCCAGTGTACAAATCGTATTGCAGGACACAAGTATTGTCACAACAGAAGACCACCCTATGCATCTCCATGGATACCATTTCTATGTTGTTGGATCGGGTTTCGGCAACTTCAACCCGCAAACAGATCCTGCTAAGTTTAACCTCATCGACCCGCCACAGAGGAATACCATAGGAACTCCTCCAGGTGGATGGGTAGCCATCCGATTCATAGCAGATAACCCAGGTAAACATTCTTGCGTCTTCGTATAAGTGAAGAAGTGTTTTTAACCACAATCTCATCATTACCAAGTAGAGATTTCACTAACTCTTGTTTCTTGGTCACCACCCATAACAGGAATTTGGTTGATGCACTGTCATCTTGATGCCCATATCGTTCTGGGTTTGGCAATGGCTTTTCTTGTTGAGAACGGAGTTGGAGCATCACAATCCGTGATACCTCCCCCTGCAGATCTACCCAGATGCTAGATTATGAAAAAAGAGACCACAAGTTAAACCCAAACATACCATTAGAAGGATTCTTGTTTTCTCGTGTGCTTTTGATTTTCTATGTATTTGTTATGCTGAATTTGAAACCAATAGAACAATTATGTGCTCCACCTGGAGTGGTAATCCAGAATTAGGTAGCGTCCATCAAAATGCTTGATTTATCAGGTTCCTACGTCCACCTAAGATTGTTTTCAGATAGAATGAAAAGGATTCAGATCTCTAATAAATAGCTTACTACTTCATTTGAGCTTTCCAATGGCAACAACTCAAAAGTCACAGACTTCACTAACCTAACAAATGAAGTACAACTTCAAATGCAAATTTAGTTCATGGCAAACAGGGGTCATCACTTTGAATTTACAAGCATACAATGAGAAAGGATTCCATTTATCTCGACCAAATAATGGACAATTCAAAGCAAGAATACTAGTATAAAATTTTTTAAACATTGGCTCTGAGATACTATAATGTGTCAGCATCCAGTTTCAGTAAACAAATTTTGGGTTGGCTCAGGCCACAAACTTCAGACAGCGAGTATCATTATGTACATTCTGGCAACGGCAAGAACAAAACCGTACACCACACCTCACACATGTATAGCTAGCAGCAGAACCACAAACCGTGCAAAAATGGCGGCGAGAGGTAGAGCTCGGAGGTCCTACTGCCGCCCTTAAATAGGACGGGACATGAGGTGGCAAAAATTCCAGATTTGCCTGTTTTTGAAGGCACATGATCATTAATGAAGAAAACCCATAAATGGCATAAAAAAAAAAGATGCAGTCAGGCATCTGATTTTCAACAATCCAATCCTACCTCATGTAAGAGCTCAAGAAACGTCCGTGGAGCTTTCCTGGCCTCGAGCGCTTTTGCCTGTCGCGTTTTACGTTTCATGCTCTTGGACTGCTTCTTTTGCATGTACACTGCAACATAGGTTAAAGAACTTCAAGGCAAACAGTGCAGCAATTGAAAGAAAAGTTCAAAGTGCAAGGGCTCTCTTAACTTTTGTCCAAAAATTTACTAGGGATGTTCATAACCCTGCAAAACCCGGCCCAACCCACCCCACCCCAACCCAACCCGAAAAATGCAATTTCTAGTGTTAATTTTTTTGTTTTTTTTTTGCAGCCCATTCAATGTCAGGCCCGAAGTTTTCGGGCGGGGTGTGGGTTGGGCCTATAATGGCCCGCACACCCCAACCCAACCCGTGCTCTAACTTGCCTCCTCTAATATTTAACCCTAGGCAGGTAATTCATTTCTACTCTCTAGTTTCTTCATGTTCGAATTAAGTCTCTATGTTTGCTTTATGTTAAGACTAATTTATGAGTGTAGACTAATTTATGTTTACTTTATATTTGATGTTAGATGGATTGCTTTGCTTCATGTTTAATGTTGGATTGAACTTGGAGTATTTGATTCTTTGAATGTTGAAACCGACCACCCAACCCACCCCGCACCGCCCCAACCCAACCCAAACATCATTGAGTTGTGAAATTTTTCTAACATCGTTAGAGCCAAATATGCGTAACCCGCACCCTTTGGGGCGGGGAAAGAAAAAGCCCTACCTGCACTAATCCAACCCATGAACAGCCCTAAAATTTACTACTAGACACTACACTTTTGCCCCTTTTCCGATCAGTTACACAATCAATGGACTTTTCAGCCCCTAAAAATCATAAAAAAATAAAAAATAAAACACACACACACACAGAGTACAGAAGCAATTCCAAACGGCAGAACACCGTCTTTTTTTTCATTGAAGCACTAGATAGTTCTGGCAATCCAAAACCCGTAATGCTTGATTACAAGTTTATACCGATGAATAAATTCATCAATCATATTAGCTCAGGATTGAAATTCTACACCTTTGTCTCATAAAAGAACCGCCTTTCTTTAAAGTCATGTGGCAACATTTCCAAAAAGACAAAGGAAGAAGAATACCTTGATCATCATCGTCGAGAGAATCTTCGTCTTCGTCATTAATCTCCACAGTCTCGATTCCCGCATTATCATTTTCCAAAGCTTCAAGGCGAGCAAGAGCTGCCTAAGAAGAACGAATTCCAATCAGGCCAAAACTGGCAGTGTCGAATCTAAAAAAAAACCCTAGAAAGATCACAGAAAGCTGGAGAGAAGAGAAACCTGGGTGCGGTTGTCGGTGCTTGCAAGAGCAGCAGCCATCTTTGGAGCAACCTTCCGGGTTCGGCTTGACATCCGACGTAAGTGGTTCGACGCGTCGTCGTCCATGGTGGAGAGAGAGAGAGAGAGAGAGAGAGAGAGAGAGAGAGAAAGAGGATTGTTTTGGGAGGGAAGGAAGGAAGGAAAGCTACTGAGTGTGACAGGGGGAGGGAGCGAAGAAGCTGAGAAGGAAAGAGAGGAAATTCAAGTGAAACGGGAACAGATGAAATTTGTCGTTTCTTTGGCATTATATGTAAAGGATATGTTACACATTTATCCCTGTTTTAGCACCTTGTTGTAATACATCTCATTTTAATGAGATTGCATTAACTTAGTATCGAAAAAGAAATTCGATTAAAAATTTTAACATCTCAATTAAAATGTTTTTAGATCGAATGAAAAGGATTTCAGTTCAGAAAAACACATAAACTTCTCGTTGTCATAATTTTGTCATTCTAACTCCAATCGTAGTAATTCCAGTCTCTATAAATTGAGAGTGACGAGAGAAACAAAACCCACCCTGAATTTATCATCGATTCTTGTTGGAACACCTCCTACGGAGATGGTCATTTTTACCATTTGAGTCGTCGTCATTTGTTCTTCTCCAGGCTGCCATGAATGACACTGTTAGTGAGGATTGGCTCAGAGGGAGCCGTTGAGTCGAACCCCGACCTTAGCCACTCAACCCATCTGTGTTCCGCCGAAGTTCAAAGCCCCTGTCGTAGTGGGGGGTTGATCTATTGATTCTGGACACCATTTTTCATGTCGTAGGTGTCAAAATATTCAGAAGGCAACGGGTGACAAAATCCTAACTAAATTTCTCTCATTTGTAGCCCCAAAATCGAGATTCATGTCACCAAATTTTTCCAAAATTCTCGAGCTTGATTTGTACTGTTAAAATTGAAATTTTGCGAAATTGACCTCACTGTTGAACTCATAATGGTTGATTTAAGGAGGGTAGGCCTCACCTTTGTTGCAGAAATCTACTCTAGGAGAACTCACTATCGTACGATACCGCTGTCGCCAGTGGCCGATTTCGGCAAGCTCTCATTTATAGCCTCTTGATCTCCAATTGACAATTCGAGATCATATCTCGATTTATTTCAATGAGCTCAATGCAATGACGACCTCCGTTTGAGCCAATTCCATTCCATTGAAAAGTCGTCTGATACCGATTGCACACAGATAAAGGGAGAGTCGACCGGTGGAACAGAGATGCGTTCATGATCTCAATTGCTCAAGAGACCTTCGTAAGTTATTCCTACCCACCCACAGTCCTTCTGAAACCCGTTTTGAAGTAGGGTTCTATTACTCAATTTTTATGAGATTTTATTTAATTAATTTGTTAATTCTGAGAAATTAAATTGTATAATTAAATTTTGTTATTATTATATGATATCATTTGAACACACAAATAGTGGGTCTTCCTGTAGCATACAACGTAGCCAAGTGATTTGAGATGACTTAGAATGATTATCTTAGAAACGCATGGTTAGATGATTTAACCCGGATATATCAGTGATGGCGTGAGTGTTGAGAATGATGGGCGTTTACCATTGTTAGGACTGCTCTTACTTAGTTGGTAATTTTTGCTGAAAATTGATAGTATGAATTCAAAGAAACATGTTTTTTCCTTTTTGGGTTAGCTACACCAAATTTGAAATGATCTTCCAGATTTGGACTGATTTTACTGAGATTGATTGGTGGCTAATTTGGTTGACTCGGTTGCTTAATTGGAGGTATCGATGGAAAGAATCCATGGTGATTAATTTGTTTTTGAAGAGGTTGATCTGCGATAATGAAGTGGTAAGGTTTGTTGGGGTATGCAGCAAGTTGAATGAGAGGTTCCTTTAGGTTGACACTGTGCATAACATTTTATGGTGTTGAGAGTCTGTGATAGATTTGTTGTTTGAGTGGAAAATCTTGTTGACTATCCTTATGGTGCATGTCAATACTTGACTGCGAAGCGATGTTACAAAGTCGGGTGGTGCCCGCTGGACAAGTCCTTTAAGGAGACTCAACACAACGACGATACGATTAAGGAGGGAGTCTTTGAGTGTGTAAGACCGTTATTCATTTTTGTAATCTTTCAAACTTAGTGGATTGTTCACTATATGGACGTGACCCCGTAGATGTAGGTGTGTGCACCGAACTACGATATTAATTTCTTGTGTCTCTTACGTTTCTGCACTATTATTTTCTGCATTACTTCTCAGCACAATTATTTACTGGTTTCTGAATCTGAAACACTTAACATATCCTCAGTGTTTCAACTAGTGATGTAACACTCTTTGTGACACCGGGATAAAAACAGACCTTTCAATTGGTATAAGAGCGGCTCACTAACCGTTTGTTTGGTGAGGTTTTGGGATTTGGTCTATAGTGTCAGGGATGGACTTTTTGAAAGAAGGTGGCTCAATTTCGCGTCCTCCTCTCCTCGATGGTTCCAATTATGCCTATTGGAAAGCACACATGAAGGCTTTTATCAAAGCTATTGATGAAAAGGCGTGGTGTGTGTTCTAACTGGTTGGACACACCTCATCATCAAAGATGATGCTGGAAAAGAAATATTGAAACCCAAAGAAAAGTGGTCTATTGAAGAAGATCGGTTGGCTAATAACAACTCAAGAGCATTGAATGCCATTTTCAATAGAGTTGATGCCAATCAATTCAAACTTATTTCTACGTGCGAATCAGCCAAAGACGCTTGGGAGATATTGCAGACAGCTCATGAGGGTACAGAAACAGTTAGACTATCAAAGTTGCAAATCCTCACTACAAGGTTTGAGAATCTTCATATGCTTGAAAATGAAACAGTTTCAGATTTCAATTCCAAATTGTGTGACATTGCTAATGAATCATTTGCACTTGGTGAGAAAATTCCTGAGGAAAAACTGGTGAGGAAGGCATTGAGATCACTCCCTCGAAGGTTTGCTTACAAAGTGACAGCTATTAAAGATGCCAAAGACGTGCGGTCAATGAAGCTTGACGAATTAATGGGCTCTTTGCGTGTTTTCAAGATGAACCTAAATGAAAACAAGAAGGAGAACGAGAAAAACATTGCTTTTCAAGCCGAAGTTGAAGAAGTTGAGTCTGATGATGAAAAAGACTTAACTGAAGCCATAGCAAGATTATCAAAGAATTTCAACAAGGTGATGAAGAAGTTTAATAAGAAAAACAGAAATATAAGCTATGGCGACTCCATCAATTTTCAAAAGAATAAAGCTGCAACAAGTGGTACTGATTTCAAGACAAAGAACAGAGGTATTCAATGTCGCGAGTGTGATGGATACGGGCACATTCAATCCGAGTGCGCCAAAACTCTAAAGAAGAAGAAGAAGTCTCTGAATGCAACGTGGAGTGATGAAGATTGTGAAGGCAGTCAGGAGGATGAAGACCATATGAGTCGTTGCTTTTTATGCTTATACTGATCAATATGATGTTTATGTCAACAGTGTTACAAATAGTGTTGCAACACTGCCTGTAATAGACTTCGTGAACAACGGAAACGAAGGAGATTTTTTAGATTTTGAAAGTAACAGTGATGGTGAGGAGTTGACTGTTGATGCCATACTAGAATCATATAAAACCATGTTCAGCAAATGGGTTAAAGTGTGTGAAATAAATAAGTCTCTACGGGAGCGCGTCGATGAGCTTGTCAAAGAGAATGATGTGTTGAAGAGAGCTACTGATAATTATGAATTAATTGCTACAGAGAGAGAGAAAAAGCTGAAGGAAACAAATGCTGAATTAGAGAGCACTCAGAAAAATTTGAAAATGATGAATTCTGGTACAAATAAACTGGAACATATTCTTTCATTAGGAAAATCAAGTGGTGATCGTCATGGCCTTGGATATACTGGTGAGAGCTCAATGTCCAAAACATTGTTGGTGAAAGAGACGCTTGTCCCTAAGCCTCTGACTATCCCCAATAAAAATGTTATCATCTTACCCTCTCGAACGAAAAAGATTGCAACATTGGAAAAATCGTAAGAATCAGAAGCGATCATGGGAAGGAATTTGAAAATGCTATCTTTGTTGAGTTTTGCAATAAACATGGTATAGCTCATGAGTTTTCAGCTCCTAAAACACCGCAACCGAATGGTGTTCTTGAGAGAAAGAATCGTACTCTTCAAGAGATGGCTCGGGTAATGTTGAATTCTAAGGGATTGGCGTTTAGACTATGGGCAGAAGCTATGAACACAACTTGCTATATGGTTAACAGAGTGTACCTTAGACCAAGTAGAAAGATGACTTCCTATGAGATTTGGAAGGGTAAGAAACCTAATCTCAAATACTTCCATGTTTTCAAAAGTGTGTGTTATATTCTCAATGATCAGGAACAGCGAGGAAAACTTGATGCAAAAAGTGATGAAGGAGTGTTTCTTGGTTACTCTAATAATAGTCGAGCCTATAGAGTTTAGAACAAGAGAACTCAAGCTATCGTGGAGTCTGCAAATGTAGTAGTCGATGACTTCAAAGGGACTGTAGAAAGACTCTCTAAAGATGAAGCTTTTAATGAATCTGAAATAGATGATCAAGGAGATGAGAAGCATAATGCTAAAGACATTGTCACAAAAGATGTTGCAGATGGTGTTATAACATTGCCTGGGACAAGGCAGTCAGAACCAAAGACAGAGATTTACAACGTTGCAGATCCAATTACCAGGGAACTATCTTCCAGAATGAAGAAGAATCATCCAGTTGAGGAGGTCATTAGAAGCATTCATGATGGTATACGTACTCGAGATAAACCAAAGTAAAATTATCGATACATGGTGAGATATGTGTGCTACACTTCTACTGTGGAACCAAAAAATGTTAAAGAAACACTTCGAGATAAGTTCTAGATAAATGCAATGCAGGAGGAGTTGGAGCAGTTTATGAGAAATGATGTGTGGAGCCTAGTTCCTAGACCAAGTGATTCCAATGTTATTGGTACTAAGTGGATCTTTAAGAATAAAACTGATGAACATGAGAACATTACCAGAAACAAGGTGAGACTTGTTGCACAGGGGTGCACCCAGGTTGAAGGAGTTGATTTTGATGAGACTTTTTCTCCAGTTGCAAGGCTTGAGTCAATCAGGCTTTTGCTCTCTATTGCCTGTTTGTTGGGGTTTAAGTTGTTTTAAATAGATGTGAAAAGTACATTTTTGAATGGGTTCTTGAATGAAAAAGTATTTGTAGAGCAACCTAAAGGTTT